TCTGGATAACAGCAGACTGACTGCTCGTAAAATATACGACAGGTCTGGACCACTCATGAATTTTGTTCGTATCTGAAAAAAATCTTAGAATACAAAAACATTGATGAACGCCACAAATTCTCCTAAATCACTCGTACGCACAACTTAAGAACAAATCTGTGCGTACCAACGGTTCTTGCATGAGGCCCATTGTCTTGCTGAAAGATGAACTTCAGTCTGAGTCAAATCCCTAAAAGAAGCTAAATTTCAACAAGTTTCTCTGCATTTTGCTCCGTCCATTTTTGCATTAACTATAACCAATTTCATATCTGCACAGCATGATGCTGCTACAACCATGCTTCACTGAAGGGATGATCTCAGGATAAGAGGTTGTAGACTGACCTCAGACATGGTTGTCCTTTGTGCTTCTTTTAGGGATGGAATTCCACAGTTTCAGAATAAACAAAAGCTGAATGTAAACATCCGTCCGTCCGTCTGTACATTCATCCGTCCATTGTTTTTAAAAATGTGGCACAAAATTAAAGAAATTTGTGCTTGATTGATTATTTGTTGTAACAATGTTTATTGGGAATAAATCCGATATAAGTTTGTTTCCTATTAAATTGTGACACGTTAATTTGAGAAATGTATTTTTGGGTTGCACCCATGAAAAACTTGCCAAATCTTCTTTGCCAATGCTAAACAGCGTTGTCTGCTATTGACTCTTGTTTGGGTTTCTGGTACCCCTGGTTCTGTCTACATGTGAGCTGGTTGTTTGTTGAGAGTCAGAATGAATAACCAGATTAAATGGACCAAAGTTCCAGGCTGGATGGACCAAGGACATGAAGCACCTGTGAATATGTCCCTTCTGCAGTGGTCAGTTTTCTTCTCCAATCATTACGTGTTACATGGCCAGCACCATCAGGAAACTTTGAGCTGATGCTCCGTCAATCCAAGCTGAAAGCATTATGTAATGAGCTGTAGTACTATCTCCAAATTGAGTGTCAAGTTTCTTATATAGTGTATATTCAGACCAGACTGAACACACATGCACGTACTTATTTCAGTTTAATATTTTTAAACCTGTAAGGCAACAAAACAGACTAACAGGATGCTGAAAATTTACCAGAAGCCCATTATTGATGTGCAGATGGCAGTTGTGACGTCAACTTGTATTTTTTTTTTTTTAGTTTCTAGTAAACAGGAGTCTTGCCAGGCGTCATGTGGAGAAGGATCGAACCTGTTCCTGATCCAGTGCTCCTAATGGAGGATATAAGCAGGCTGGAACGCAGTTCTGGACCACACACTCATGCTGTGACTGGACCACTTGTTCCTTCTGCAGCAGTGATGGTAAGTTCAGTCTGAAGTCTTCATTTCCTTCAATCAGTGACACTAGGATAGGTCTACTTATTTTATTTCCAATTTTCATAAAAGTAAAAG